TTCAACGTTTTTGAAAATTGAAAACGGAAAACGGCTTGAAAACGGCAAAGAGAACAGGGCCTTAGGGTCTATTTGATTTGTGTTTTAGTTTTGAATTTTGAATTCATTTTTAGTTTTCTAGTTTGAGGGTCTACTTTAAGATTCCTAAAAATGCATTTGGTTTGTCATTTCAATTCCAACAGCTCGGATTGAATCGTTATATCATATTTTCCAAAACAAAAAATAGAAAACATGTTTGGTTTGAAATTTTGAAAAACTATTTTATGATATTTTAGTCCATAAAATTTAGTTATTCAATAAACTAAAACAATTTTATGTTAAATATATTATCAAGCTCTTGTTTGGCCCCCATTAAATTACATTACATTATATTAACTTTTTTTTCTCTCTTCATTTCAACCACACATTCATCAAATAAAATAATATTACACACAAATTCAAAAAATTTCAACCACACATTCTCCCATCAATCACTATTCTAAAAAATTTCAACCCCAAACAATGTAAAATAATGGGGGCCAAACAGGGGCCAAGTAATAAATACATTTTAAAGTTGATGAATCGTAAAATTGTTTTTCTCAATACAAAAGTAAAATAAATAATAAATTGAGTTCAACATATAGGAAATAAAAATAAAAATTAAAGATATGAACTATGAATATTTTTTATAATTTTTTTTTAGAATTTTAGATTTATATTTTCAAATTTTATATTTTTTTATTTTTAGAATTTATCAATTTTATTTTTCTAAATTTTGTTTTTTTAAAAAATTAATTTTTTATTTTTAAGAATCTATATTTTTATTTTTAAAATTTTTTAATCTTTTAAGTTTTATTTTAAAAATTTATTTTTCACGTTTTGAGTGCTTTCAAAATTTTCACTGAAAACATCAAAAATAAGTTTTGAGTTTTAGCCCCCGTTTATTTCTCATTTTTCATTCATAAAAATGAAAAACATAACCGTTATCCATCACATCAAGCCATCAATTTTGAATTTCTATCTCTTGTGTGGGACCCAATAGCGACTATTTTTTTTATTCTCGTTCTACAATAATGAGAATCAATTATGTTATAAATTTTTTGTTTTCAAAAATACATTTTCAGAATAGCAGACCAAACATGTTTTCAATTTTCTCAAAATAAAGACCATCAATAAGAGGCAAACGAATTCAAAATGTAAATTAATTACAATCCGCAACTCTTTCATCGTTCTTGTTACTTCCTGTCGTGAATAAACTATGAAGTGTGTTGATTCAAACTTAGCATTTTTCACCAATAACTACAAATTATTACCTCTATTTTGACTTTTACAGTTGTACGAAATCTTCACTGCGTTCTTCAAGTTACTAGGTTATAGGATTAATCCACAAGTCTGAACATCAATAACAATACCGACAGTACATGGCAGTGTATTTTCACAATTTAAGGGATATGTATATAAGTTTAGACACTTGTTACTAGTAGATAGGAAAAAAGGGTAATATTCTCTTTGTATGTAAAATGTTTGTATTGCAATTCGTGTATAAATAGAGAAGGTAAGGAAAAGCTAATCAAATTGAAAATTCCGAAAGAACTTGAGTTCAGTAGTATTTTCTAACTCTAGGGCAAATACCAACTTATACTTTCCTCCGATAAAGAAAAAAAAAAACCAATTTTGATTTTGGTTTATAATTCAAGTTTAACAAATTATCTAAGAAGGTAGTTTTGAGATCCCTGTTTTGTTTAGTTAAAAATATATTTTTACTACGTTTTGATAAAAATTAATAAAATGTGTAGTTGAAAAGTTGACAAAAACTAAAAAGTAGAGAAAAATCTGGGTTTGCGTGTAAAATATTTTTTTATGAAAATGTATGATTGAAAATGAGTATATAGAAAAAAGAGTTTTCATATGGTGGTCCTCAAACGGGGGCTAATTGCTGACATTGATAAATTTTTATTAACCTTTTCAGCTAAACCAAATAGGGGCTTAGGTAAAAATATAATGATTAATTCCTCGGTCTCAATTCCGAGTTAGTGGAAATTACGTGGATGCGTATTTTTTTAAGATTCAACTTCATAAATAAGATTTTAAGTTTCATCTTTTAGATTATAATTAAGTATTTAATATTTATTAAATAAATATAATATTAATAATCAATCAAAATTAATTATAAACACTCTCTCTAAATTATACACACTCTCTCTCTAATATCTCACATTTTCTCTACTCTCTCCCCCTCCGACTACAACACCATAGGCCCTTTTGTCGTCGCCCCCTACACCAGAGAAATTGTCATCACAATCCCAGCACGGGCACTGCCCTGTAGCGACGATGACGCTCATCGCCGCTGTAAGTAGCATCAACGCCATGCAGCCCGCCTTAGTACCACATCTGTTATTCTTCTTTTTTTCCTAAGGTTTATTTCTCCAAAATAGATGCTATGGAGTCGTGGTGATCCATAGTTTTTTACCCTCTTTGCGATGTTTTGGGAGTGTTGATCACCGCTGCGCAGTGATAGGTTTAGATGGCAGTGTTCAGATGGTTCTATGGGGGGTGTTGATCGTCTCTACATGGTGGTTGGTTCAGATTACAGTGCGATTAGTGTTTTGGTGGTGTTGGGGTTTTGGGTGGTTTTTGTTATTGGTGGTGGCGGCGACGATGAGGTGGTGGCAGACAGTATTACAATGAATCGGGTGGTGTCGAGTGGAAGAGTGTTTGAGACCAATTTATTTGGGCGTTATGATTAATAAATTGTTATACGTAATCTAGAAGAATGTGTGATCGAGACTAAATTTGTAATTATGACAAATTAATTTGATAATTTGTAATTGAGAAATAAGTTGTGACATATAAAATTTGTAATTTGTGCGTGACATAAGTTGTGACCTATAAAATTTGTGATTTGTTGTTGATATAAATTGTGATCTATAAAAAAATTTATTTGTAATCGAGAAATAAATTGTGATAAATTAATTTGATAATATGTGACCGAGAAATAAGTTGTGATCTATAAGCACGTAATTGTAATCACAAATTTTATAACCGTGACCTTAATATATTTAATTAATAAAATAACTTAATTCTTATTTCTTAGTTTTAAAATGTGGTAATTACATAAAATAGTACTTTAAGTTTTTAAACTCCCAAAATCGCATTGGAAGTTTAATATTTCCAAAATCAGATTTTTTATTAATTAATATATTATTACTAAATAAAACATAT